TTCTTACTTTACAGCATTTTTTCACACCTGCCTAAAACTTTTGCACAGTACTGTATATTTTCATTCTGTACCATTAAACTCTAAAAGGCAGGTTACTAATGCTATTCCTTTCCAGGAACCCAGGGAAAGACTAACACGAAAACTGAATCCTGTTTTGATATTTTTACTATAGTAAATAGTAATATTGTTTTCCACCTTTACTCTGAAGTTCAGGGCAGTCTACCTAGGTCTCCCTTCATTTCACTCCTACAATAACCTTGAGAAGCAGGTTGCATTGAAAGTGCATTTGCCTACTTTGGATGTACAGGTACTCTCCAGTTTAAGAACAAGTTCTGTCCCCAAGGTCTATCCTTAAATTGAATTTGTACATAAGACAGAACAGTATTAATGTATAATACTGTATAAGTAGTATTTTGTATTTAACTCAAACCCTTGTGTGTATAATTTGAATCATTGTGTATTTAACTTGAATTTTGCTACAGTAGGCTCCATTCTTAATTATGGGTCATCTGTAACCTGGGTGTTCTTAACCCAGGGACTACCTGTATTGTCTCAGCTGCTACTGAGTTATGAAAAACCACAAAGAAGCAGGAATTTACCTATTGCAGTATTTTTTTTTCTTTTGGCACAGGAGTAAAAATACATGTTTTATGTATGTACTATGCAGTATTAAAAACTGATGCAAGCAGCCTACTTATAGAGATACCGGTAGCCACAAAAATATTTTCACGATTGGGGAGGGGGCAAGGACTGGAGATAGAATCTTATCTCAAGGAGTGAAGTTCAACCATTATTGATGGAAACAACACAAAAGGGGAGAAAGGGGTACTTAAAGAATGACCAGGAAGAATGCATCCAGAAAGAGTGAGCCTAAAGCCTGGTGTCTACAGAGTCAGCCTAAGGACTGTAGGATATAGGATGAGGTGCACCTTAATTCTCTATGCCAATGTTTCTCATCTTCAGCAACTTTAAAATGTATGGACTTCAACTTCCAGAATTCCCCAGCCAGCAATGAAACTTCAATTCCCAGAAATTCTGGGAGTTGAAGTCCACACATCTTAAAGTTGCCAAGATTGAGAAACACTGCTCTCCGCAAATGAGGCTTCATAAGAACCACTTGCTACATCAGGCTGATAGCCCATCCATTCCAGCTTCCCATTTCTCATCACAATTGTCTCTGGAAAGATCACAAGCACAACATGTAGCCCTGTGTCTCACCATTGCTCTGAAAATAAAAGTATTAAACACTTTCCATATGGCACCTAACCTATCCACAAATTTGTTCCAAGGTACACAAATTTGCTGCTTTAGGCACTTTTTTATTCTTGTTGCCGTGTATGTTACTTTCCAAAATCTAACCAATATTTAACTGTCCAAAGAGATCCCACAAACAAACACAAACTTTTGTTTGAGCTGTGAAAGATTTATTTTGTTCATTTTTAGAGAACGAATTGCTTCAACCAGCACTGAAAATGGTATCCGAAGGCTTTACATAAGGTACACTAATATCCACAAATCTTCAGTTGCACTTTATTTCCTCTGCCATGGAAATGGCTGTTGAAACTTCCACGTTATATGCTGGATGTTTTTTTTAAACTATGCGGAGATGTTGGACATGTTCTAATTTTACTGATCCAACACTTTAAAATCTGGATCCAAATTAGTTTCAAGAGCAGAATTATTTTACAGTACCCACCCCCTTAAAAGACCCTGGCCTTCGTATCTCACAGGAAATTCGTTATGGAGCCAATCATGATGAATTCTAAGAACTTGGTCACCTTTGTGATTACTTTGTAATCTAGTTATACCACTGAGAATCACCGCATCCAGTCACTATTAAAACCTTTCTCAACCATATGAACTTCATGTTCCGATTATCTTAAGGTAATACGTTCTTAGCTCTTGATGAGCAGATAATATCTATTTTTTATGAAATGTGTGTGTAGCGGGGAGAAAAATATGCCTTCCTGAGAGTGCCGTCTTCACCAAAAGAAGAGACTACCCTGCCCTCTTTGGTATACATCATACATTTATTAGTGAATATCCCTCTCAAAATCAGCCACAACATTAAAAAAAATAATGATTGCACTACTTGGTCAAGCAGAACTAGCAACTTTCATTTTAAAAAAAGTACAAATCTGTTAAAAATTTCAATCAGTATAATACACATATATAATACAACATACTAGTTATGTTAAATGCTACAAACCAATATGATTCCAATGGAATGGAATAAAACAAAACAAACACTTTAGAGATTTAAGATTTTTTTTTCTTCTCTATATATTAGCCTTTTTTTTTTTCCAAATACATACATGGGAAAAATGAGGTAACTGTAAATGTGCAAGTAACAGAGCAAAAAAAATT